CTGTTGGATGTTTCTTCACTGAAAGAGAAAGAATACCAAGAGAGTCAGTTTGGGCAATAACAAAGAGCAGAGGGGAAAAAAAAAAGCCCAGTTCTATGAAACTAAGTAGAGAAAGGAATTCAATATTTTTGATTAACATGGAAATCCAAAATACTTTTGGATTAAGGACCACTTAAATATTTGTTGTGTTATAGTACATTAAGGTTTTATGCTACTGCTCAGATGTTTTTTCTGGACACATCTTGCTAACATATGTAAAAGTGACAATTGATGTTGGCTAAGTATGTAATAGTCTGCCCAACTAGGAGTGAAACCCAAACAGCAGCTACTGAAAATGTAGAGGGGCAGATTAGTCTTCCTAAAGTTGTTTCTGGTTTTCTCTTGCTATGTATTTGTCTTGTCAGATGATTTTGTGTAAAGACAACATGAAAACATATAATTAATTAGATTTGGTTTTTTGCCTGAAGGGCTTTTGTAGAGATGGCTTAAAAGTCTACTATTCCTGAAGGTAGCAATTACATTAGAGTGGATAAACACAGTGGATAAAAGAAATAGATAAAATACAACTTTCGTTAATGCCACGTAGTATGCTATATAAAACTTATCATCTGGGCTTGTTGCTGAAAGGAAGATGTTTTACGCATTTCCAATGGGAAGAAAAGGTAGCATTTCTATAAAGACAGAACAAAAAATTGTTTGCTTTTTATTACCTCCGTTGCCACTGTTTTGTAATAGAGACAAAAACTTTGGATGTATTTGCAGTAAAAACCCTAAAGCACATAAGATGACAAACATAAAAATACAAGATTTTAATTTTAGGGCAACAGATAGAACAGAATTTTTAACAGAATTAATTCTTCAGAACTACTCTCTTGATAAAAGAAAAGTGAAAGGACACTTTTCATGTGCAAATGTATGGAAATTTATGTTTTCTCAAGGATCATTGTACTATATTTATGCTTTAAAAGAGAAACAGCTCACTTCTAAGGCCCAAACACAGAAATCCTTTGGTGCCATATTATGTATCTAAAAAGACACAGAATGGAGACACACAAATTTGGTAGTTGAATTTGTACTTGAAATGTGGAGTACTGCTAGGCCTCAAGGCAGAAGAGAAGAGGTAGTGTTGGGATGTCTGGAGTTTTATTCCCCAGATACCAAACAAGCGAATCTCACCGCATCTTGCAGGAGCTTCTGTCTTAGGAAAAGAATAAAATCTAGTCTTAAAAAACGCAATTAAGCTGTCTTCCTTGTTTTGGACTTTTTTTGATGGTGCTGTAGGAAAGGCACATGTTTCCTCAAGTATGTGTTTATCACTTCAGTCTGAGACACCACTGACATACAGTGAATTGAAGATATTTTTCTCCCTGGGGTGCTTGCAGATGATATGTAATGCTGTGATTTTCCTAGCAGCAGCTCGAATTGGCTTCTGCTTTAATTTTACCAAATATCTACAAACATTAGGATGGGAATTGTCTTACCTATATGTCTATAATGCTATTTGTATATTCAATTAAGGCAAAGAGCAGAAAAAACACAGTTATAGGCTACTGTATCTCAAATCCTAGATCCGTGGTTGCTCACGTTGGCTAGAATTTACAGAGCACAGCTGACATTCATTAATCCTGATGTTCTCTCTTCCTTAGTTCACTATTAAAGTGTCTTTCTCTGCATTCTAAAATATTAATTCTTTTTGTTTTCTGCTACTTATAAAAATTTATTTCATGAGCAATTGGTAGTGACTGTCTCTACTAGGAAAGAGAGTAGCTGCTCTCAAAACATTAATTGATTTGCAAGTTTAGTTGTCGAAAAAGACAACTAAAGAAAGGAAAATGCAGTAAAACTTCATTTTCAATTAAGACAGTACCTCCACGGCAGTGCTGTGAGCTGCTGTGCAAGACTCCTTCACATCTAGACTCTTAGAGATCAGGCACATCACAGAGGTAATGCCTTTGGTCCCTAAGGAAAGAGAAGAAGTCAACTGCAACATTGGATGACTCATTAGCAGAGATGACTGCAGGTCAGCCAGGATTCAAAGGCATGAATATCTGGGAATAAGAGAAAGAGAAAAAACCAGACTTTTGCATAGGCTCTCCCATGTTGTTCAGCACAGCTTTCTTTTGCTTTTATGATGAAAAGACACAGAAAATAAACAATCAGCCTTTCCAGTTACTATAGTTAAAAAAAAATAATTGTGTGCATAAAGAATTTTCTTTTGTGTATGCTTTGATACTTTTAGTGGCAGTTCCTGATGGGAAAAGACATCTTGGCGGTAGGTGGCAGCGCAGCTCTTTCATTGCAGAATTTGGGACAGCAGCATAAATCCATCATTTACAAAGCACAGCCTTTTCCAGATGCAGGCCTTAGGGCCTTATTCAGTCCTGCAATTCACTTCTTATTGCTAGGGATGTCTCATTAGGAGATTAACTGTTTAAAATGCAGTGCTAACGTGAAAGTTTTAATTGAGAAATCCTGTGCATTTTAAATTAATCTTAAGTACTTTTATCTAAAATGCCTGCTTCCTTTCCACAGCGCTTTGTGTTTGTAGCTACCTCACATTCTTTTGTGTCATATTAAAAAAACTTGAAATCAACAAACAATGCTTTTCATATTGCTGAAAATGCTTTAAAAAGTTGGTTTCAGAAGCCTCCTAAATCCTAAAGTACAGGGGTTGGTAATTGCAATGTGAGCTGAATGGTAGCAACGCTATAGGATATTGACAGACAGTTTGTATCTATGGAGAAAATACAGGGCAAAGGTTTCATCCTAACCACAGATTATGTTTCACGGATAAACGTGTTACGCATCAGGAAATTCGGAGAACAGCTAGGATTTGCAATTTGAAAGAAAAGCAGATAGTAACTTGGCCAAACATTTAGACTGAGATTTTCAAAGTGGCCTCGGGGATTTTGGAAACTGGAATGTTGGGCTGCTTATAAAATTCTCAGTGCTTAGGCCTATTTTCTTTTCTTTAAAGGGTTTGTACAGTTTTTAATTTGACCACATCATATACTCAAATTTATGGAATGATATATGATAGAAGGAATATATTGGAAGGTAAGGAAGAAACTAAAGTTGCAACTCTGCCAAGTTTTAAATTCTGTTCCAAATCTTACTTGATGTGACCATTTGGATTTTGTCTGCATACTTTTGTGGTTATTGTTGCTTTTAATGTCTTGATCTTTCTCAGAGGCACTGTACATACCATTTGGCTGTCTATTTTTTTCATCATCCCAGGCAGAGAGATGCACTTTCAGAGAGAGCACTTTTGGCAGAGCACTGCATGAATACCATTTCCAGATGATATTACTGGTCTGGCTGAACTCAAACATGGGAATCCCTGTGCTTGTTCTACATCGCCCAGTGTAGACATTGCTGAAAACTTGAAAGTAATTTTTGTTTTGTTTTGTTTTGTTTTGTTTTGTTTTGTTTCCCCTAAATACTTGGATAAAGAAGAGGCCAAAGAATTTAAATTATGCAGAGCAGTCACATAGCATGAGGCCATTAAAGGATGGAACTAGCCCATCGTGGTACAAAATTTGTGTGTATGTGTTTGTAGGTATCGTCACTTCTACAGATGCTGAACTAACATTAATAGGATTCAAAGATATCTATTTGGAAGAGTGGATATAATTATTTGAGCCTAATTCATTAGCCTCTTTAATTTTTATATAAATAATGTAGCATAGAAATTACTGTGTTCTTTATCAGGATTAGATTAAATGATGATAAGGATTTTTGGTATATATGTATCATCTATGAAAGCTAAATTTCACATTCATTTCTTGTGTGGAATGCTTTCAGGGTAAAGAATATGAGCCCACCCTTTGGCAGAGGAGACAGAGCAAATCTGCCAGTGCTGAGGTTTTCATGGTGCTTTAGCAGTTCATACTTAAATGTTCCATCTGATCTAGTCTCAGAAAACTCAGAGGAATATGTTAAAGAGCATGATTTGTGTCTTGCATTTGTGTTTACAGAGATATAAAAAACATAAACTTCGCTTCAAAATATAAATATTTTACAAATTATTAAATTTAATCTTTCTGTGTGACCTGTCTTTTTATAGATGTTATATAATGCAAATATAATGCTTTATTATTGAAGGTGGACTGATTTTATTTGCCCAGAACACAAGATTAGTATTTGTCCCTAAACAGTAAACCGAAGTATTAGTAAGACTGATTTGCCTCTAGTCAGGGAGAAAATGGCTGAAGGCATTGCAGGAAATCTGTATCAGATAAACCCCAGTAAACCTATAGGTGTATAAATATTACATATAAATACGTACATGTGTGTTGGTGTGTGGAGGGAAGGGAATAAGGTTGAAGTAATTTTAAAAGGAAGGCTGAAGTGATTTTAAAAGGAGATTCAACATGGTAAGGTATTTGGAGACAAGAGTCATGAAAACACTAATCCTTGGCATAAAGGAAGATTTCCAAAGTTCTGAGCAAATTGTGATACTTTGAGAACCAAGTCAGTGTGGCGGATGAAAAAACAGAATGGGAAAGGTATGTTGCCTGGAGAAGCGTATACGGAAACTAAATGGACTTGCCACCCACTGGATAATTCATCTACCGGACTGACAGTTTTCCCCAGTTTTCCCCAGTTTACTGTTGTGTGTTTATGAAGTTTTATGTACCCCAGTTTATTGCTAAATTTTTATGCAGTTTGTTATACCTCCATATTGTTCCCCTTTCTCCCTCAGATTTTCCCGCCCAAAGTTGTTTGTCTCCCTGTCCTCCCCTGCTTTCCCGCTCCTCTGCCACTGGTTGGCTACAGTTTGCTGCAGTGCAGAGAGAGCTCCCATTGGCCCTTTCCCCTGGAGACTCCAAAGTTCCACCCACCTTTTCCCTGTCTCCCTATCACACTTTTCCCTGGCTTGTCAGTCCCTTGCTCCTCCCTGGTTCTGGATCCTCCCCTCAGACTTACCTTATTTAAACCCGTTCTCCCTGAATAAGGTGGCATTGCTGCACGAATCCTCGACTGTGCCAAGAACCCTTATTGCAGTGCTCGGTCCCATTTCCCTTTTCTCCCGCGGACTGTGGCAAGTCAGTCAGCTTTTTCAAAAGTAAGTGGCTTAGGAACATTTGTAGCTGAATGCTGTCTTTTGATAAGGGCAGAGATGCAGAAATTTGAAAGGAATCTGACAAATGACAAATTGCCTTGCACATAGGAAAGGGAAAATCTTGAAAGCCTGGGAAAAGATAGTCTGCTATCATATTGATGCCCAAAGATTGGCAGCAACTTCATGGATAACCTGCAATACTGACAAATGAAGTTTCACTTTAAGCGTTCTGGTTAGTAATGAACAATTTGTGAACATCTCTGGCTTAGGGTAAATTAACCAAATAGATCTTAGAAACAATATGTGTCTGCATTTTCAAGTGATGACTCTAGAAGAACCTGCATAGAATAGATATAGGAAATTACTAAGTTAGGATTGATAAGATCTGTTAATGTGCAAGTCATATTTTAAGCAGGGAAACTGGATTTTAATTCATGTACTAGGCCAAGTTTTGTCACTTCTACAAATTTATATTGCTATCAAAGAAGGTGTAGCAATTGACCTCAACAAACATAGCATCTTTATTTGCATATGCTTTAACATACTATTCCTGAGAAGTGTCAAAGCTCTCAAAATAGTGGTTTTCCTTTTTTATACACTTGAAAAGTGCAGCAATAGAGTCTATTTACATTGCTGGGTTAGAATCTTGTAGTGGGATGAACAGTTACAGAAGTTACAGTGTAGATCAGTCCCCAAATTACTTGATATAAAAACTCCTGAACTGTTAGTGGATATATCCACACTGTATATTGCCGTTGCCCGAACTATAGGCCTATGGAATACGACACAGATTCAATTCAAAAGCCATGGGAACACATTTTCATGCTCACTAGCTCCAGCTAGTATTTGTGGCCTTGTCTCTAAGATGTGTTTGCTCTGATTTAACACTGTACCAAGACACCATGTGCCTTTCAGTTGGTTCCAAAGCTGGGCAGTTTGCTCGCCTCTCTTCAGGACATGAGATGTCTTTAAGCACTACATTGTTATCAGTAATCTCATTTTACATAACACATACAACATGAGTAAATCAGGGTCCTTAGTAAGATTACAGTCATTTTAGCTACTGGTAATCTGTGCTGAGCAGCTAATCTAAAAATTAAAGGCACTGTATTTTATCGTTATTACTAATTCCCTGACCCATGCAGTCCCCTTGCTTGTTTCATTGACAGAACATTAATAACTAGTCACAGTTAAGCATTATTTAGCTTCATTTGTGAGTCAGTTGAACAGCCACAGTGTATTGACACTTTTAGTCCAATTAATTAAGCCCCAAGGTACAAACCAAAAGCAATTAGTTGCAGCAATCAATAAATATTAAGTATTGAACACAAACTCATGATTCCATGGTACATTGTAATAAAAGATTTTTGAAAAATTATTAGAGCTTGGCTATACACTGTTCCTTGAATGCTATAATTTGCTGGGAATTTAATAGCACAAATAGGACAGTATTTCCTCTTTGGATCTGCTGCTGGAACTTCTTCATCTGAAATGGTTCATAAAACATACATGAGGTTTACAGAAATAAGTAGTCATGTAAATAAATACATTATCTGTAAAACAGTTTAGCTTTTCAGGTTAATATACTACCCCATTTATGAATCCCACTCTTCTAACTCTTACATTCCTAGACATCAAGTTGGATTTTCAGTTGTCTCTATAACCATTGTTTAACCTTAAGTAGTTATTTTAATAATTCATCCTACTGAATATAAAATAAGGCAGACCTGTTTCATTACTGGTTTGTCATGACTTGAATTAACCACAGTTGAACAACTTTTTAAAACTATGCCTCAAGAGTTTTCAAGCTATTAAATATTTTCTATTATAAGGACTCAGAATTGTTCACTGTGGAGAATAAAATACCACTTTTGCATACATTACATAAACACTTTTTGCTTAGTGAATCCACAATAAATTTTCTTGCTGATTACTCATGTAATCTAAGGATCTCCTGCTGTTTCATGGAGAGTCTTATTAATTTCATTCAAGTAGTAAAATTAGCACCTGTAGAGAACCCTTTATGATTTTTAAACTTTTATCATGTTTATAAGAACCTGCTTCATTTATCATGTAACTGTTTATTCTCTCAAAGTATTTATTGATTCTCAAGGATGTTTAATGAGGAAAAAAAATTAAATAAAAGAAATTATCATATCAGCAATGCTGCTTATCAGTGATAGATTCGGGTAGGATCACCAGATCTGGAAGGTAGATTTTTGAACACTGAGAATTTCACTGTTCCTTTTGAAGCCAGGAGTGCTGAGACATTAGCATGGAACCTCTTTGTCAATAGGAACTGAATGAAGTACTCGTTTTCTAGTATATATGTAGAGGTTCTGTTCTTGGAGATTCAGAGTTTTGACTGGGGAATTCAGTTATAGAAATAACATAAATGGATTGTAGAATAACAAAGATTGGAAGAGGAACATCAGGCCATTGCAGAAATTGGCCTTGCAGCTGAGGCAGAGAGAGCAGAAGACACAACTTGAACCCTTCTTTGACAGTCAAATATCTGCACTATATTATCTTTTTCCTCTCTGTATGGCTGATCCCCAGTTATGCAAGATTTTAGCAAACCTGTACATGTGTAGTCTGAGATGAAACATGTTAAAATAATTTCTAATATTATAATGAGGACAATAAGCTTAGAATACCTGAATGAATACAGCTGAATATTGTGTTACAGTTTGCACACACAAAAAGTATTTCAGGAAACTAATGCAGTGCCTTTTTTTCCATGAATTAAAGTCTGTACCTGTGGCTCGGAGATATTTTTATATTTTTATATTTCTTCTGAAAACTACCAGCTGTAGAGGTGACGACAACAAAACCAGAGTATACCTAGAGGTGTATAAAGCCAGGCTGGATGGGGCTCTGAGCAACCTGGTGTAGAGGAAGTTGTCTCTGCCTGTGGCAGGGCAGTTGGAATTGGGTGATTCTTGAGATCCCTTCCAATGCAAACCATTCTATGATTCTGTGTTAGGTCCCGGAACACGGTCTCCTGTATGATGGACAGAAGTCCTTCATCAAAACCCTATGCTCATTAGTCATTCATCTTTTCATTAAGTGAATGTTCAAATAGGCTTGGAATGGTGCAAGAATAACTGCTTGTGGCTCCTTTTCATGAACAAAGCATAAATGAATGAACTGATTTTCTAATGCACATATGCATTATTTTTTTTGTTTTTTTTAAGGCAGTCTTGTCGTATTTTGAGACACATGTTTCTTAAAAACAGTATTCTGTGCTGTTTCACTTGGTGCCCTTGAAGAGGAAAAGCTGTGTTTGATTATCCCGAATGGGAGGTTAACCAGTGATGTCTGCAGCAGGGTCAGCGTTCAGGTAACTGAACTGAACTGGGGGAAAACAAAGATGGGATCCATATGTTAGCTGCGGGGATATGTGGTCAAGTAGACTGGAGTGAAAATTCAGTACTATGAAACTAACAAGGAATTTGAGAGTAAGCATAACAGTGACTGATATAATTTCGAATTTTATGTGGATTTCATCCATTTTCTTTCAGGGCACGTTTCTCCATGATACCACAGTGAGAAATATTTTTTGAATTTCATTTTTTTTATTTTTTCTGTTTGTTTACATATGTTTATGTGATAAAATTGTTTGATATGATCTTTACCCAGCTGAATGGTGTGCTCATTCTAAAAGCAGATTTCAAAATCCTTTGATTATGTAAGATCTAAATAAGCTGCATGTGTTAAATTCTGTGGTAAGTACTGAAAACTGTTCAAACATCTGTTTCTCTCAAATGAGGGAACAATAATTGTATTATTTTTTTTTTATGAAATAAGTTTTTGAAAGATGAAAACTGCTTTCATTTTTCCATGTCTTCTTGAATACTCAAATGAAATTTATAGGCTAAACTCAGAGTGTTCTCAGGAATGAAACCCTCGTTGTATTCACTGTAGCTCTAGAAGGCCTTTGGGTAAGTCAGAGCCTTGTAGAAATTATCTGAAAGGGTCATTGTAAAGCCTTGATTCTGTTGTGTCTTGGGATGTTCTTAAAAGATTTTGATAGCCTGTACCCTGATAATTAAGGTGGAAATCCTAAAATGACACAATTGTTTGGGTTGGAAGGGACCTTAAAGATCATCTAATTTCAACCCCTCTGCCTTGGGCAGAAACACCTTTTACTAGATAGAGTTGCTCAAAGCCCCATCCAACCTGGCCTTGAACACTTCCAGGGATGGGGTATCCACAGACTCCCTAGGCAACCTGTCCTGTTGCCTCATAACACTCACAGTGCAGAATTTCTTTTTATTGTCTTAAAGCTATTAAACCTGCGCTCTTTCAGTGTAAAGCCATTACCCCTTGTCCTGTCTCTATATGCCTTTGTAAAAAGTCCCTCTCTGGCTTTCTTGTAAGTCCCTTTTAGGTACTGGAATGTGCTCCTCTGAGCCTTCTCTTTTCCAGGCTGAGCAACCCCAAGTCTCTCAGCCTGTCTTCACAGGAGAGAAGCCCTCTGATCATGTTGCCATTCATTTCTGCATTATTGCCTCCCCCTCTCCTCTGTGTGTATTGGTAGGGGAGTTTTGTATAGAATAAGTGTTCTGCTTTTTTAGAGGTGTATCAAAGAAACTCAGTAGAATATTTGAAAAAATTACCCCATTTTGGTCACTGTCATTCTATCGTATTTAAAATCAATTGTTCTCCTATTTGAGCAAATATTAAAAATGGAACAAACAAATAAAAAAGACACTACACAATAGAATTTCAAAATATATCAGAAATTCTAAGCTGTCTTATTTTTCCACAAAGAATCAGAGGTTTCTCCATCGCATAGAGGACATTATTTTTTTCCTCTGATTTAATACCTGACATCATAAATGCGTAAATTTGACTCTATCAGCTGGGTGCTAAAACATTATGCCCGCCCCTGAGAATCTGAAACATCTCTAGGATGTGTAACTCAAGGTAAGTATGTATGTCCTGGAAATAGATCTACTGCTCTCAAGCTGACATCCCTTCAAATCTAATTAAGGAAA